GCATCAAAGGTCATCCCTTATATATTAGTTGTGAAGTGATTTTGTAGAGTTTGCTTAGGTGTTTCCACTAAATTCATCATTCTCACAATTAAAATGTGACATGGCATTCTAAAAAATATGACATGGCATTCTAGCCCATTATTCTCTTATTACATTTAGTCCAAACTTAATAAATTAGCCCAAGTTTAGTCACCTAAATGAATTTGAAATTTTATTAACACAATTACTTACCACAATTAAACTTAATCTAATAATGCTCGACTATATATATTAAACTTAGAGAATGATTAGTGTTTGACGGGCAACCAAAAAAAATCATATTCCTTATATATTAATGAGAGAGTGATTTTTTGAAAAAAAAACTTATGTGTCTTCACCAAAATCATTCTCCTAATTTTAATGTGATATGGCATTGTAAAAAATATGACATGGTATTCTCTCTCATTTAGCCCATTAATCCCTAATTAAAATTAGCCAAACTTTAATAATAAAATCGGTCATAATTCAATTAACCCAATTTCACAAGCTATTGGTCTGGATCATTTTTAATTCTACATTAAACTCATCTTTTATATATAAAGTTATAAGAAAATAATATTGAGTTTTGTTTTTGCAATTTAAGTAAACTTGAAAAAACCGTCTAATCTAAATGTCCAAATTCGTTATTGAATCTAACAAAAAATAATACTATCGATAATAAATATTTTTCTTTTAGATATTGTTATTCAAAACTACAATAATTCACACGGGTTTAATCAAACGGATATTGAACACAATTGATCACAATATGTTGTGTTTTATTTTGTCAATTTTCAAGCTTCAAAAGAATTTACACACACAGTAGTAATACTTTGGTGCAATGTGTTAACGACAACGTCGACACTACAACATCAATAGAAATGAAAAAATTTTTAGAAACGACAAAATCTTACTTGGTTATTACGATATAAAATTAGATAAAATGACCAATTCAATTGTTTTTTGTTAACTGAATTGTATATGATGTTATTGTCAACGTTATTAATAAAAATAAAATTAGTGCCAATAAACAGAAAAATAAATTATTTTGTATAAAGAAAATTGAACTTAAATCATTATCAACTTTTAACCATGAAATAATACTTTTAAATTTATTTGATTTCTAAAAAAATACTTAACCGCGTGTAACGCGGAAATCATCTAGTGACTCTTGTATACGAAACATTAAGGATTCAAAGAGGAATGAAAACTTAGTTAGTTTGGTCTTTACACTGAATTTTTATATAAATAGAAATTTGCATCGTGAATTTTCTTCTAAAAATTTGATCAAGAAAGGTATATATGAAAATTTACCAGAGATCTCAAAATCAAAATATAATCCAGGACAACATTGTATTATCAAACAAAGGGCTCTATAAAATTTACACATAATAAAAAGCAAGAAAGAATCGAGAAGATACAATGGAGAGTGTGTGCGTATTCTATAAATACCAGTAAATCAACGGCAAAGCTGGGCGCATAAGGTATTAATCCGTGAATCCGAGGAATTCGCCAAAATGTATGATCCAGATTTCCCGTTCCTCAAACAAGTTATGGTCAACTGGTTACCTAATTCCGGCGTCTGCGGGAAAAAGAAGAAAAGAGGAATGTTGATTAGAGATGTTGAAAGGAGATTCGAACCGAGGGTGTAGAAACCGAGTAATGAAAATGGCGATAAAGATTTTACCACTGTGCAGGAGGCTGGTTCTCGGTTACAGCTCCATTTTGAAGTTGGAATACATGAAAGATAATGACACCACGAGCAATGTTTGTTTCCATCGACATTGTTGAAGAGAGAGATCAAACCGGCAATGAACCTGACGAGGAAAGAATACGGTTAGTGTTATTTTTCTTGTGTTGATCAAAGAGACAAAGATCATTTTCGCAATCCACAGGTGTAAATATAGTTTTAGATATAGGATAAACAAATAGGCTAATATACATATTAATGTAACACTTACCAAGCAAGCAAGAGGAGAAGAGAGACGGTCCATAATATGCCCTGATATATCTTGTACTTGTGTGGTTTAGCTCCAGGAGCGTTTCTTTGGTTGATCCATCCGTAATGGGGACGTATTAAGAGCACAAATCCAAGAAGAAAACCAGTACCAAACCCTCCAATATGAGCAAAGTTATCTACTCCTGGGAGCACACCGAGTCCCAAGTTTACCGCCACAATTAAAACAAGAGTTATAATCGTCACAACCTAAGACACAAACATTTTTGAATCGTCAACCAAAAATACTAAAGTCACAATCTTTAGATCATATAAAAGAAGGGTATTTGAAGATATCGTTACCTTGTTAGAATAAATTGTCCAGTTGATAAAGATCTCAGAGAGCATTCCTCCGAGTAAACCAAACACAGCACCCGATGCTCCAACAGATATGTTAGAACGGAGGAAAAGAGCTGACAATATACTTCCTCCAAAGCCCGATATCAAATAAAGCAATCCAATCCGTACTGAGAACAAAAAGTCGAAACAAACGGTTATACACAAATTTCATCAAAGGGTGTCTTCACAAGATAACAAATCGATCTAAAGAGGCAGAGAGTACTTACTAAAACCGAATTCACGTTCCATACGTATACCGATGAATAAAAGAGTCAACATGTTCACCAACAAATGAACAACTCCTCCATGTAACCAGTTGCAAGAAAGTAGACGCCATCCTTCATCTCCTTTAACCACTTTTCCTACATCCAATCCACCCATTTTTTGTAACCTGTTTCCAAGTAAAAGTAACCAAAATCAATCTCGAAATTTCGACATCAAGATTCAAGACAACTCAAGGAAAAGGATACAAATCACACTTGTCTCTATACTCTATATCTATTAAACTTCAAACTAATCTACAATTCAACAACATAAGTATATGACAAATTCCACATCGTTGACCCACACTAAAACCAAATCAGCTACTTCCTCTAACTAAAGTAGCATAATTTCCTGCTGAATCCTAAGAAATTTTGAACCTTTCTGCTTAAATTCCTAAGAAAGTTAGGATTAACTCAGTCAAAATCAGTTCTTTGTTTGGAAGAAACATAGAAACTCTAAGCTTACGTGAGAGAGGAAGGACCCAGAAGAGGATTCTCTCTTGTGCTCTGAAACGAGAACCGACCCAAGAAATCAGCGAAACAATCTCCAGATTTCTTCGGACAATTGTTGACATACATAGTGATCACGAACACGACAACGTTAGCGACCACGAAACACGGTACGAGCCAAGAGAACCAGCTCCGAAACTCTTTAACTCCTCTTCCTCGTTCTTCATAAGAACTTCGACTCTGATTCTGCGATCGATGTTGCCCAGATAAAGGAGCAGACGATTCTAAATCCATTGGATGGATATTGCTTTCTCTTTGATGGGCTTTTCCCCAAATCGGAGCTGTCTCTGAATCTTTTTCACCCATGGAAATTGATTAAAAATTCGAGCTTTGAACAAAAATTCGAGCTTTGAGCAAAAATTTGAGAGATTTGAGAATGGATTAGAGATGTGTGTAGAGCAAAATTAGGTTGCTTTTTGGCTCTCTTTATGGGGTTTTTAATCGGGTTGTGTGTGTGGACTTTGGAGCTTTAAGCAAATTCTTACAGAAAAAGGAAATTATCTTTGGAGTTGTGTCTGGAAATAAGAAAAGGAAAGAGTTAGTCAACGGTCTTACCAAATCTATATCATCACACGGTTCCTAATCCTACCAGTAAAACGTTTTTCAATAAATTTGTAATGGATTTAATTGGCTATAGAGTACTCAAAAGAAATTCTGATTATATTTTCTTCAAGTTTGTAATTAGTCATAAGATATTTTCTTGATTATATTTATTTTATACAGTAGTACTTAAGAACTTTTAAATTTGGTGTTGATTAGTCGTTTGTAGTTCCATAAATAATGTATTTCATCTGGATCAAATCAACTCCATAGAAATTTTTTATACCTAATCCATATAGAAAATAAAAATAAAAACTCATATAGCGTTTGTATTGTTTAATGGTATAAGATATTCTCTTCCAAAGTTTTAAAAACAATTTAATAACAACAAGCAACACTATGCTCTGTTTATCATATCCAACGGACACAAATCAATCCCGAACCCTTAAATTTTAACCGATGCCAAGAAAAATTTAACAAAAAAAAAACAACTAGTATGCCGCAACTCTAAACAAGAAAAGGAAACGAATTACCAAAAAAATAATATCATTAAGTACAAAAGGATGCAATAAAAATAATATCATTAAGTACAAAAGGATGCTATAAGAAAAAATTACATGACGTCAAAAAAAAAAGTATATATAATAGATTAATTCTATAAATTAAAAATGATTTATTCATTAAAAAGTAAGGTAGTGGAGTCATCTAATGCTAATTACACTTAACGGTTACACATGATAATGGTTTATTACCAGTGTCAATTGCACCCACTCTTGTTAGCGTAGGTCCGTGTCTCTGATCCCATCTGTATAAATTATTCAACGATTTCACCAATTTTTTTTCTTTTCCAACCTCTGTTTTGTTGAACTCGTTTTTAACGAAATAGTTTTAGACCAATTTTCGGTGGAGACGTTTATCGGAATGACCGGATTTTGGACACGATAAAATCGTCGCCGT